GTCAATATCTCAAACCGTTTCAAAATGGCGGCCGGTTAAAGTTCAAAATGGCCGAAAATTCACACCGGTTATTTGTCGATGGATTTACGCGAAAATCGGTACGTAGGGGTATTTTGACACGAGAAAAACGAATTTGACGTTAGATTTTAAAAAAAAACCGAAATTTCCAAAATGGCCGCCGGTTAAAGTTTAAAATGGCCGAAAATTGTCACCTCAGTTTTTTTGCTGATGGATTTGCTTAAAACTTGGAATTTGAGAGTATTTTGGCATACAATAAACACATTTGAACTTAGATTTCTAAAAAAATAAATTTTTGGTCATTTTGAACTTTAACCGGCGGCCATGTTGGAAATTTCGGTTTGTTTGAAAATCTAACGTCAAATTCGTTTTTATCGTGTCAAAATACCCCCACATTTAGATTTTCGCGCAAATCTATCGACAAATAACCGGTGTGAATTTTCGGCCATTATGAACTTTAACCGGCCGCCATTTTGGAACGGTTTGAGATATTGACTTCGGGTTTGCGCGAAAAGTTTTCTTTTTTTATGCTCTTTCGAACGAGCTTTCACAAAGGGGGTCTTCCCATTTGAAAATTAAAAGTTGGGGTCCGTTGCCCCCCCCCAAGGGGGCCCCCCTGAAAATTTTAGAGAGGCCAAAAAGTAGCTCCTTTTAACCTAGGAATATCCCCCAAATTTCAAATCTTTACCTCAATTAGGTAAAAAGTTGGAGGGGGTGGAAGGGACTTTTGGATCACCCTGTACTGATTTTCCAAATTACCTTACACTTGGGGTATTTTGAGAAACGTCCTTGACATTTTTTTTAGCACCCCTGAAGGTGTAGTAAAGAGATGGTTTTTGAACTGAGGCCATTGGCGTGTAAAAGATTCTACTATAAGTTGATTTTCGTCCTTTCAAACTTTTTCACTAATATTTTTTCTTCTTATGGACAGAGTCAAGATGATGGAACTTCTAATACTAAGAAGCGGGAAACTTGGATGCTCGAACTCCCTGCTGCAAGTTCGGCTGCCATTGGCCTTGGGCCAAGATCTTTCAGATTAAAGGAAGGACCAGATATGAGTGATCGATCGTCCTGGACAGATACACCCGAAGATAAACAACGTAAAGAGCGACTTGGCAGGGTCAGTTCTACCTCTCTTTTTAGTGCATTTTATGTAAAGAAAAATTGAACTAAACAAGTCCGAAACTGAATATTATTTACTAACTTTTTTTCTGTCTCAAAGAGTGCTCTGTCCGGATATTTTGTCTCAGAAGTACCATTACATCCGAAAAAAAAAAATTCCACAGTGCCTGGGGTAAGAGGACCTTGAAAGCATAAAATTTGAATTCTTTGGGGTCAATTTCCCACTTATTCTCTAGTTCCCAACTTCATCCCATCTAAATTAACCGAGGAAAAAGCCTAACACCGGTGGTCTCCTTATTTAAGTATGAAGCGAGGTTAAAATAGGTTTGATTGGAAAAACCCAAGTAAAACAAGACTAACAATTTGAAGGATGTTATCAAGGGAAGTTCTAAGAGTCGTTGACATGCTGATCATCTTTCATAGGTAGTAGATTTTTTTAAAATGCATGATCCAAGACACCCTAGAAAAACAGTTTGTTGACAGCACACTCCGTAATGTTTCACTCGGTTCAGTCCATGCACCCCTGTACGCAAGTCCTGATTCTCAGAGCTGCCTCACCTCTGAAGCTAGTACTGTAGTACTCCAGCGCTCTGGAGAATGGGACTCCCTGATAACGCGAGGAAATGTCCTCGCGGGAGAATGTTCTGCGATGGAATATCTAGACCCCCGCATTGTGGAGAAGTTTCTACACCCCGACTGCAGAGGTTTACTGACTACGGTGGCTATCTAACTTGTGGCGTTCTGAATATTCACTGTGACATTAAATTATGGTTTATTAAGTAGTTGGTTTATGATGTTCAAAACTCTTGGAACTGTCTGTGCGGAGACATAACTTTCCCATACGTTTCAGATCATCAGGAACTTTTTTTTGGGTAGTTGCTGTGTTAGAGAAGAAAATGTTTTTTTTTTTATTACAGGAAACAGAGGGATGTACACTGTTTTTTTGGAAAACGGGAAAACCAACTGAGGATAACTATGACAATTTACAAAACTTTAATATAGACATTTTTTTCGCTAAATGTGCATCCACCCCTTCAGTCGACGAATACCTATGGGACCATTGGCTTGAGCCGAACACCCACGAAAATCTGTTCAATTTGCGGGTTTTGGTCGTCCAGTCCAGATGTGCCACCTCTGGGTTTTAGTGCCTGCCCAATCTATCCTCGCAGTTGTTATACATCCATGTTTTCAACTTTGAGCTCACCTCTAATATCGGTGTTACGCTCGTACCATCTGGCCCAACTATCTGTCTCAAAATTTTATTTTGGGTGGTTTCAATTAGTTTTAAGTAAGAACTTGCTGAGCAGGTCCAAATCTGGCAGCCGTATGCCCAGATTGGTCTTAACATGAATTTATACAATAGAATTTTGTTTTTTAATTATAGTTTTGAAAGCTTTTCGAGAAGCCAAAGCATTTTTTTGCGTTTCAGTTCAATTTGCTTTCTTTCATTCAAGATGTGATCTTTCCATTCAAGTTTGCTATCCATGGTAAAGTCGAGATACTAGGCCTTCTAACAGTGGGGCATCGCAGTGTTTTTTAGAGTCGATGGGGTATGGTCTGAATGTAAAGACTACATTTACAGAGTTAGTAACATTTCGCATAGTATGGTCGTTTTCAGTCCATTCCTGGATATCGTCCAGGCTCTCCTGAAGATTGTTAACAGTTTCTCACAGAAAAAAAAATTGCTGATTCAACAATTCAATTGCTAAAAACAGTGAGTGCAATGTTTCAACGCAGATTTTACAACAAAAAAGTGCTACTTTAACCACCCCCGTGGTTATATTAGTTTACAATGTGGTTAAATTAGTTTACTATGTGGTTAAAGTAGCATTTTTTTGTTGTAAAATCTGCGTTGAAACATTGCACTCACCATTTTTAGCAATTGAATTGTTGAATCAGCAATTTTTTTTTTTTTCCGTGTATGTATGAGTGCAGATGACGCCACAGCCGAGCGTGTCGTGTACAAAAAATAAGGTAACAATGGGCGTGTTGCAAAATTTTACTAGTGCAAAAATAAGAGTTGCTTTTAAGAGAAAATGTCTCAAAAATCACGATGAGCGCATCGACAAATTCTGAAATGCCCTAATTTCACAATCTGCACGTTGTCTGTTTGAGCTTCCCGCTTCAAAAACGATATTAGGGCTCAGGTGAACATTTTGTAAGAGGAGTTGTTTCATTTTCGCAATAGTCATAATGGCCGACGCTTCCGCGCGTAAGTCGAGGGTAGCATAAGGTCAAGCAAGGCGGATATCTCCGAAAGGTCTCAACGCGAGGAAAATTTTAATGTAAACACGACGATTGTTATTAGGTGGTTAGAATCTCGTCCCGTCCATCTCGTCACACGCACTTTGGCGGATTGGCGTCGACCATGTTGAATATTGAGCAGGAGTCAAATGGAACGACTTCTCTAACGACATGTTCACCTGTGCTGTAGTATCGTTTTTGAAGCAGGAAGCTCGAAAAAATGCCAATTTCCTACGCAGATGGTCAAGTTAGGAGTGCATACCAGACTTTGCTAGTGCGCTTAACATGATTTTTGATACATTTTTTATAAGGGAACACTCTTATACTACTCTTTACTACTCTATACTGCTCTTTGTTCCAGCAAAAAGTTGCAATAGGCCCATTGTCAACTTTCCAGTCTAAGGAGGTGCAAGATAAATGAATATTAATTCTATGCATACCTATTTTTATAGAATATTTGAAGGAACTTTCTTTTTCTACCTTTGTTTTGATATTACTTAATTGTAAAATTTCTAGTCAGATCAAAATATACTCCATCCAAATTTATGTAAGTACAGCTGTTTCAAATTTAAGCTCATCGCAAAAGTTTAAAACTTTCATGAACTGATAAAAGTTCAATATTATTCAAAGCAAGGAGTGATACAAGCCTAATACAGATCTTCCTCATTTTCTCTTGATCTGTAACTTCATGTTTAGCAGCAAACTTCGTTTTATCCCTATTTCAGGTAAAAGAAGAAGGTAAACCATTGGATTCTAAAGAGGAGTCACGGCAAAGAGCCAATGAAGCCAAAGAAAAGTTCATGACGGAGCAGCTGCGAAAGTTAAAGAAGAAACGGAAAGAGAAGTCATTGCTGGAAGAGCATCAAGAGAAGTTGCGGAAAAAAAGAAAGGTAAGACTCTGATAAAGCTATAAATAAGCTTCTGAAAGTTTTATCTTGAACTCTCTTATTGCATGACCTTGCATCATCCAGGATGAAAAGACACTTAAATGTCACATGGTGTGTATATGATTGCAGTTAACAGTGCAATCCAAACTAATATCCCAATGTAGTCCACTAAATAAAGGCATGTAGGGCCCATTTTCGGCCGAAAATAAACGTACGTTTGGACTTAGACCTAATCGATTCTACATGTACTCAAAGAGGTGCTTTTGGCCAAAAGTCCCAATTAATCTTCTTGGAGGATTTCGCACAATGGTCTGATGAAGTTGAAAATTGGACATATTTTCAAGAATTCAGTGCGGAGGGAGAAATTAACTTGGAGACCTCATCTTTTTTTTAAAAAAAAGGTAATTGAGTCTACTTTTTGAAAAAGCTATAGTTTCAAACGTAAAAGTAAGGTAAATGTGAGTGAGGTTGAAAGAAATTTAAAATCCAGCATATTTAACAGACACTTTCTATATTTAAGTCCATATTTGGGCCCGGATCGAAAAATACCCATCAGTAAAAGTTGTAGTGAAGATCGTTCTTTCGGCGTTAATTTGGTACATTCCATCATCGGTTTACTTTCAAAATCGAGGGAACAAAAGGGCAAAAACGAAGTGGGTCGATGCATGACCTCTTATGTTTCAAATCGTAGACTGGCGATTTTGAGTGGCGCATGATGGCAGTGATGGTACATTCAGCTGTGCCCGTCTACTGACGACCAAAGTGAATCACTTCCACCATAGAAGCTCTTTCCTAGAGCGCCATGGTTGCCATTTTTTACTTTATTTTTTTATTGTTTACTAATTCGTTTTGGTGGCCATTCGAGTAATACTGAGGCCTCTTTGGATAACTTTTCAACCCCCATCCTTTGAGAAGCAACAGTGCAACGACGTGTCGACCTCTTTTTGAGTTAAGTAACTTCCCTGACCCCCCCCCCCTAAAGTTTTCAGAAAATGACAAGGAAAGTTTGAAAAATGGCTGATTTTTTTTCTATTCAAGATTATTGTGTTTTCCTAAAAAGGGAGATTGACGTTAGACTTGACTCCTCTCCCCCTTCATAAGAATCTGTGAGTCTGCGAAAAGGGTTCTCTACTTCCGCCCATGCAGCATGGGCGGAAGAGGAGAAAAATACCTCCACAGAGGTGTGCCTTCTTTCTTCGGTGGAATTTAGCAAAAAGTTGATTGCGGCATTGCCTCATTCTTTTTTTGCATGCTTTTTAATGATTACTATGAAATTTCTACCGAAGAGAAATGAAGGTAAGTTGAATGTATTAAATTATTTTTGAATATGTTCGAATGTATTCTGGGTCTATGTTTGAATCGCGGATTCTTATGCAGGGTTTCTACTAAAGCAGGCTAGCCAAAAATCAGTACTTTTACAGGGCATTCCCAAGAAATTCAGTACCTCCTCGACAGAAAAATTCAGTACTTTTTCTGTACCTCCAATTCACGAAATTCGGCAAATTTCAAAAATTTGAATTTCCCGCTCAAATTGCGACAAAGATGACAAAAGGATGAAAAAATTCCGAACCTTCTTGCGGCATTCCGCACTTTTTCAGTACTTCCGGACCGCCCTAAAAAAATCAGTTCTCTTCCCGAACTATCCAGAAATTCCGGACTTTTACTGTCAGGGCAGTTACTTGACTCAAAAGGAGGTCGACACGTCGCTGCACTGTTGCTTCACAAAGGATGGAGGTTGAAAAGTTATCCAAAGAGGCCTCAGTATTACTCGAATTGCCACCAAAACGAATTAGTAAACAATAAAAAAATAAAGTAAAAATTGGCAACCACGGCGCTCTAGGAAAGAGCTTCTATGATGGAAGTGATTCACTTTGGTCGTCAGGAGACGGGCACAGCTGAATTTACCATCACTGCCATCATGTGCCACTCAAAATCGCCAGTTTACGATTCGAAACATAAGAGGTCATGCATCGACCTGCTTCGTTTTGGCCCTTTTGTTTCCTCAATTTTGAAAGTAAACCGATGATGGAATGTACCAAATTAACGCCGAAAGAACGATCTTCACTACAACTTTTACTGATGGGTATTTTTCAATCCGGGCCCAAATATGGACGTAAATATAGAAAATGTTTGTTAAATATGCTGGATTTTAAATTTCTTTCAACCTCACTCACATTTAACTTACTTTGACGTTTGAAACTATAGCTTTTTCAAAAAGTAGACTCAATTACCTTTTTTTTTTTTTTTTTTTTTTTTTTGGGAGTTTTGTGGTTTCTATTCCTTCGTTCTAATTTTTTTGGAATCTACAGCCATCTATAGACAAATGGGGTTATTTCGAGCTGAGTGGGATTTGAAAGAGTGGGATTGTAATATCGGACATTTTTAGGATTTTTAGGGAGCTAGGTGGGGAGATAGTAAAAGTGAGAGACCCCCACACCAGCTTCTTGCTAAGAGGCTTGACATAGCGACTAATAAGAAGATGATTGACTGAGCCGTGGAAAACATACCAAGTGAACAATCAGGATGAATTGTTTGGTAGGGCATGGAAGCGTTGTATGGACAATTGTATTGGGCAAGTGGAAATTTTAGTAGTTTGGAATTATTGCCTTTAAATGGATATGTTATTGGTAATTAGGAAGTTATTTATAATTTCATATTTTGTTAGGGAGGGTTTATGCAATAATGAAGCTATATTGTAGGGGGTAAATATTTTAGCTTTCTTAAGTCTTGAATCATTTTATCTCTGTCTTTTAGTTTTTCGCATTGAAAGAGTATATGATTTAGGTTGCCCAGCAGGCCACATTCACACTTATCAGAATCTTTGAGTATTAAGCGTTTAAGGTGAGTTGGGAATAGACCATGTCCTATACGCAATCTTATGATGTTCTTAATAGAAGAGCTGTTCCGATGGAATTTGTGGAACCACGGCTTTTTTGAGATTTTTGGTTGGATTAATTTCAGTTTTTGCCCTTTCCAAGTGCAGGCATTCCATTCTAGATTCCATTCTTTGAGCATATTCATCTTTATTACTGGTAGCAATTGCTTGTAATGGAGTTTATTGTTAATTTTATTAGCTAGGGGGAGGATTTTTGTTAGGGCATCTGCTTTTTCGTCGCCAGGAATGCCAACATGACTAGGTATCCATAGCAAATGGATATTTTTGTTTTGATTATTAAAAAGGAGCCTTTTAGTGTTCAATAAAGTAGGAGTTAGATCATTTTTGCGATTTAGGAGGGTTGTTAAAACGCTTTTAGAATCAGAGCATACAAGGAGATTTTTTATATTATTTTTAATAATGTATTTCACGGCTTCTTCTATGGCTACAGCTTCAGCATCAATAATTGTAGAATATTCAGAGAGTCTAAATAATTTGAAAAAGTCATTTATTGTAAAGACAGCAGTTACAAACGTATCTGTTTTCGCTCCATCTGTGAATATTTGAGTCAATTGGTTGAACTTAGTACTGACGTGGTCTCGGAATTTGTTACGAATTAGGGATTGATTCTCAATTTCGTTTTTTTTTTAATATTTAGAAAGTCGATCAATGGTTGGAAGTAATTGGAATTTAGGGTCTTGACGTATTGATGGAGGTAAGCTCACCTTAGAAATCTCATTCTCGTATATTTTTAATTCAAGCCATCTATGGATAATTAGAGGAAATTGTTTATTTGACCACCAGGGGCTATTAAGGACAGACATTTCCAAGAGTTTGAGGTCATGAATGATCGAATTATTTTCATAGCTCATAGCTTTTATAATTAGCTTATCTGTTAAGTAGTTGAACCTATGTTGGATAGTGGGGATTGCTGATTCAGCATTAAGGTTATTAGTAGGTGTTGAATTTAGAGCACTTAGAACTTTTCTGATACACTGGTTTTGTATTTTATTGGTTATATCTAAAATTTTATAGTAGTTACAGTAGACTGCGATGCCATAATCTATTATTCGTCTTATCATGCTAAGGCATGGTACTTAGTCTAGAAACATTTTGATTGACACCCCATGCCGCTCCATTTAGGTATGATAGAATATTTAATTTTTTCTCTACTTTTTCTTTGATAAATTTAAGGTGGGAGTGCCATTTCATTTTATTATTAAATATAAGGCCAAGATATTTAGCTTTTGATGAGATAGGAATGTTGGTATCATTAAGTTTGATAAAATAAATAGGGGGGATCCTACGATTAGTGAAAATTAAGATTTTAATTTTTTCCATTGAGAAGTCTAACCCTAGTTCATGGATTTCTGTTTGAAGGTTATAGAAGTCTCTTATCACAGTATTGATTGCTTCATCAAAGCTTTTATTTTGGGAGAAAATGTTAACATCGTCTGCAAATTCTGAGATATGGCTAAAGAAGGTAAATAAAGAAATGTAGATCAGCAGAGTATACAAGGTATAACAGGGGGCTTAGAATGCCTCCTTGTGTAATTCTTTTCTGTATTCGGCGCGGACCTATCGTTCTCAATTACCTTTCTTTTTTAAAAAAGATGAGGTCTCCAGAGACAGACAGGTTACGAAAAGTAGGAGTTTATAAAATAGGATGTCGGAATTGCTCTAAAGTAGAAAGAACGTCGAGATCCACAAAAATTCGAGCTCAAGAACATACCAGACACACCAAAACTCAAGCTATAGATAAAACGGCAATAGCAGCACATTTTCGGGAAGAAGAACATCGACATAAATTTTGAAATGGAATTATTGAAGGAAGAAAAAAATACCAATAGACTTGCATGTTGGGAAAACATATTTATCCACGAAGACAAAAAAGACCTTATGAATGTAGAATGTCCGCCGTCCATCTCACTATTTAAGTTGTTTTGGACACCTAACAGCAAGGGAGGGTCCAGACCGCCGCATATCTGATCTTACCAGTCGTGTCCCAGAAGATGACAGAAGTTGTTGAAACGCATCTTTTATCAAAATTCTCCCTCTGACTAGTGAATTTTTAATATATTTTAATAATATTGTGTTTGACTCTAGTCTTGTACTTTTCAACCAAGTTTTTGAAACTGAATCGTTGTTTTGTCTCATTTTATGAGTGCTACTCAAATCATACATGAGTATACAAGATGTCGATTGGCAAGGTGGAAAAATTACAGCCAGCAATTTAAGTTCTTAGCCCATAATGAAGTGATTTTTTCTTTTTTCAAACCAAAAGTATGAGAAATTAATATCTAGTTGAATTAAGTCGAAGCGTTGCTAGAGCCAGCAAACTGTGTCCCTGAAATGACTCTCTTTGATAGGAGGCACAAAGATTTGAGTGATTGATAGCCGATCTTTTCCAATGCCTATAACTTGGTTTTTCTCTATTTAGGAGCTGTCTGCTCTTAATGATCCTACCCAATAAAGAGCTACTTTTAAAAAGAATATTACATGTGTGCAATTCTGCGTTTAGTTTGAATAGGTTACAAGTTCTAACAATCGCCGAGGTCTCCAGAAGAAGGCCCATAAAATATAGGCGAGCACGATTTCTTATCTGGACAAATAGGCAGTGATGGTCGTAGCTAGGCTGCAATTTGTCTAGATAGTCGCTACTCTGAAAAACTGGCATACTTGGATCGCTAGTGGTTTTTCTTCCCGAACCCTCCTTAATTGAAATTTTTCGGCTACATACGAAGTTTACGTATGCTTCTTCTGTTTTGTCAATTTGAAACCATTGTGTCCTACTGATTACAGAAGAGTTAGGAGTTTTCTGTAGCCTCTGCAATGAGGTAGTGAAATGAAATTGAAAAATTTCTTTGTGTGTAAGAAAACTATTGTTTCAACCGTTTTCTTTTGACTAATTCATGAAAGAGGTTAAATGAACTGACCATAAAGTGACTCAAAAGTTGGGTATACCCTGGAATGGAGCAAGAAGTAACTGAGAGCAGAGGCTTTTTACAAAGAAAGTCTCAAATATACTACAGATGTGCAATCATCATCATCATACAGGGTGGCCCAGACCTACCGTACCAGGCCTTTTTTTCGGTTAATTTGGGTTGCACGAAGTCCAGGATCGCGGGGATGAATAGGGAGTCTACCCCAAGGAATCCGAATTTTATGGTCGCAGAGCCCCCCTGGAGTCCCTCGGGGGGTAAAAGGGGGGTCGTCCTTACTTCAAAAGTCAGGGTTTATGTCAAAATTTTGAAATTATTTCATCGGAATCAGAACGTACGGAAATTTTTAACTTAAATCGACACCAAGAAATTCAAAATCGGCCCATCCGTTTCCAAAATACCGACCCCTAAATGTGGGGGACAGAGCCCCCTTTCAAAAAAATTCAAGTTCGCTAAATTGACGTGGAGACTCGGAAAAAACGTGTATTCAAGGGTAATCGGCCTCGAGGAATCCAAATTTGAGGGTCCCGTTGTCCTCAGAGACTTTTCTGATGGGGCACAGGGGGACTCCGAGCTTTTAAATTTAACCGGTGTGGAGGTTACCCCTGTGCCCCAGCAGAAAAGTCTGTGAGGACAACGGGACCCTCAAATTTGGATTCCTCGGGGCCGATTACCCTTGAATACACGTTTTTTCCGAGTCTCCACGTCAATTTAACGAACTTGAATTTTTTTGAAAGGGGGCTCTGTCCCCCACATTTAGGGGTCAGTATTTTGGAAACGGATGGGCCGATTTTGAATTTCTTGGTGTCGATTTAAGTTAAAAATTTCCGTACGTTCTGATTCCGATGAAATAATTTCAAAATTTTGACATAAACCCTGACTTTTGAAGTAAGGACGACCCCCTTTTTACCCTCCAAGGGACTCCGAGGGGGCTCTGAGACCATGAAATTCGGATTCCTTGGGGTCAATTCCCTATTCATACCCGCGATCCTGGACTTCGTGCGACCCAAATTAACCGAAAAAAAGGCCTGGTACGGTAGGTCTGGGCCACCCTGTATATACATAGGTTGTCCCAAAAGTACTGCACGTTTTTTTCTTTTTGACGAACGGTAGTAGATGTTGACACTTACTTTCTTTTTCGCCCGATGAATTTTTCGGTTGTCACTCTTAAACGATGGCCATTTCGACTTCTGTGGAAGTCATCATCAGGTACTTAAAACTAACAACGAAAATAAAAATAAAAACCGAAGCTAAAAACTGACGTTAAAATTCCACGTATTATTGCCGGCGACGCGTCGCGATACTCAAGTCGGTAGTAGATATCAGTGTAGTCTTAAAGACCGAGCAATTACCAATAAAACAAGACAAATCTGAGCTCTCTAAGTCAAAAAATGACCAAGTTACAGTGTTTTGAAAATGACTTGTAGAGGTGACCCCTTCAGGATTTTTAGCTTCTTTTCTGGAAAAAACAAAAATTTGATTGATCAAAAATTCTACAGAGAAATCGTCGCGATCGAATGAAGTTGGTAACATGATATCAGCCCGGACCTTGCTCCCTGCGATTTTTGGTTATTCCCTACGTTGAAAAAGGGTTTAAGAGGCAGGAAGTTTAACTCCATCAACGAGATGAAAAGAGCTGTTGAAACTTTCTTAAAGAACATTAGGCAAGAAGAATTCGAAAAAACCATCTTTGAAGAATTGGGAAGAACGGTTGCGGCGCTGTGTGGCAAGTGATGGAGGGTATTTTGAGAAGGAAACTAGTGTCCAGTCATCCAGTGAAGAAGAGTAAATGCTAGTAATCTTGGTGAGATTCTGCAAAATTGATTTAATAAAACCACTTGAATCCTTAATTCTTTGTTTTTTTTTTCAGAAAAGAAGCTGAAAATCCCGTAGGGGTCCCCTCTACAAGTCATTTTCAAAACGCTGTAACTTGGTCAATTTTTGACTTAGAGAGCTCGGATTTGTTTTGTTTTATTGGTAATTGGCCGGTCTTTAAGACTACACAAACCGCATTTTGATATCTACTACCGTTCGTCAATAGGAAAAAAACGTGCAGTACTTTTGGGACAACCTATGTATAAGCTCCGAGACCTCCTAATTTTGCGTAACTGGTAACGCTTAGTTCCAGAGTTCTACCGGGCCGATTTTCATGATTTTTGCGGCTATCGACGGGCAATTATCTCTAGATTAGCCCGTTCTATTCAGTTTTTCAAAATATGACCCATGTTTTTTTATATTAAGTACATGGTAAAATTGCGAATTCTCCCATTTAAACAATGTAAATTTATACTTTTTGTCATAGTTTGTTTGAGCGTTCTACCGGGCCGATTTCCATGATTTTTGCGTAAATCGACAGATAATTGGTCCTAGATGAGCTCGCTTTAATCAGATTTTGGAATTAGGACCCAGGTTTTTTTAAAATCACGTTATAAAATTGAGTGAATTTACAGAATGCCCCGGGACTGCTACCGCTATGCGCGGGAAAATGCGCAGTGGTCGAGGAGGTTGCGCAGTAGCTGGGTAGCCTGCGCATCAGCTCTATACTTATCTACACAAGATTCGCGCCGGTGACCTTCAGATGAGCAGTGGCCGAGTCGTCTAAGACGTCGGATGCGTCCACTTTGATCACGGTGTGGGTTCGATCCCCGACTCCTGATTTTTTTAATCATTACCTGATTTTCATTGTTCGTTATTTTACTGCAATATTTCATCAAGCAGTCATTCCAAAACGCATCCTTTTGACTTCAAAAAAAATTTTTTTTTTCTTTATTCATGAAAACCAAAAATTATTTCATTATAAAAGTAAAGTATATCTCATATCGTATTTTTTAGGGGAAAAATAAAACTTACACTGATAGGAGGGTAAAAATAAGGCCGCTAGGGCCGCGAAGCGGCCTATTGATGGCGCGGAGCGCCTTCAGGGGATTGGATCGCGTAGCGGCCAGGGGGCGTAGCCCCGTAGTAGTTTATAATTGGTGAGATGTGTTAGGAAGGAATAATTAAAAAAAATTAAAAGAAGTTGATCCAACTAGACTCCAGTTCCTAACGATCAGCCTAACCCTAAACCTCTAATTAACCTCCATATAAATTGCTCCAAAGTTTTGCTACAAAGTTTGAATTTTTAGATTTTACATGTTCATGTTGCAGGAAGATAAGAAAAAAAGGAAAGGAGAACCTGAAGAGCGGAGACCTTTCACGCGGGAAATTGATTTACAAGTTAATCGATTCGACGAAGCTAAAAGAAAATCAGCTATAAAAAAAGCAGGATTACTGGATGATAGATTTTCAAGCGGAGAATCGAAATTTTTATAAAAATAATTTTGTCTCTTTTTTTTATCTTGATAAAAGAATGTAAAAAAATAAAATAATGTATCATAAGAAATCGAAATAAATGATCAATAAGTCAATAATGTATTTTAATCCATAGTTTAACTAGGTTATACAGGGTGTTCCAAAAGTCCAGCCCCCCCTCACTCAAACTTTTGCACGGTTCGAAATGGAAAAATGAAACTTTGGGAATGTTCCTATCTCAAAGAAGCCCATCTGGGGGTCAAACTTTTGGTCCCTCCCGAGGGGGGTGGAGGGAAGCGGGGGGGGGGGGACTTTTTTTTTTCAAGTGGCAACCCCTATCTTAAGATACCTCATTCGAAAGAGCATAAAAAATTAAGAGTTTCCGCGCAAATCGCAAATCAATATCTTAATTTTTGACCGAGTTAGGATAGGTCAAAGGTCATATTTGACCTATTTTCAAAAAATCATATCTTCGATTCAAATTATCGTAAAGAAAAAAATAAAACGGGAAAATTTACCAAATTGTGTTCGCTTTTACGTAAAAATTTCTGAAATCACTTCGAACTAATTTTAAGGGGGAGGGGATTCGGACCCCCAAATACTTCAATTCAAAGGTCATTCAATTTTCCCGCGAAATAAGCCAATTCCTCCTAGATTTGCCTCCACATTACCTCAGTAGGGTCAAAATCAGTTCAACATTACGTTGGCAAGTCCCCAAATTTCGGGAAAAGTTCAAAAAAACGAAAGAGGTTGTTCCAAAAACGCCGATTTTGGCCCCCCCTGGATTCGGCTCAAACTTTGCTCAGATGTTGTACTAAGTGTCCCCGACGCTTGGGCACAATTTCAGCCCCCTCGGATATTTAGGGGGCAGGGGGGCAAAGTTGCAATTTTTTTAAAACTTTAAAAATCGATATCTCGCGAACGGTTTGAGTGTAAGTGTTGCGGTTTGCGCTAAAAAACGTTAAAAAATATTCTTTACAAGAATATTAATGCTGTTTGCAAGGTTGCGTAATTTATCGCGATCATAAATCGATTTTTTCGATTTTGAAGGTTCGACTTTTTTTCGTTTTTCGTCTCTCCTCTCCAGGCGATCGTTGCTACGTGAATGAAAACCGGTTGAGGTGATTTTCCGTGAAATTCTGCATCTGCTACACTTTGTTTGACCTTGGGGAAACGATTCGTTCGTGAGTTATAGCGATTTTTCTGCGCGTTACCGGTTACGCGCGGGCGGCATATCGGCGGCGCTCCATCCCGCACGGGCGAGGCAGAGGTTGTTTCACCGCTAGGGCCTTATATTCATGCTGTAGGCTGTAATTATCGATATTTTCTCCTCCCCCCCCCCTCCCCTCCAATAAATATTGTTTTAATACTTCGTTATACAGGGTGTCCCAGACCATCCGTAACAGGTCTTTTTCTCGGTTGGTTTAGGTAGTACGAAGTGGGGGACCGCGGGGTTATATAGGGAATTGACCCCAAGGAATCCGAATTTCACGGTCCCGAAACCCCCCATGCCCCCCCTTTGGGAGGTAGGTGCCCCCCCTTGGGGTCATGATCCCAAAAGTCGGGAGACATTGTGCCTCCCCCTTTTACGCCCCGAGGGTGGCTAGGGGGGCCTCGGGACCGTAAAAATCGGATTCCTTGGGGTCGATTACCCGGGAAATCATCTTTTTCCGGAGAATCTACGTCAATTTTCCACCAAAGAGAAATTATGGAGGAGGCCGATGTCCCCGTTTTGAAGAGATCATTTTTGGGCGCAAATTGACGTAGACCCTCGGGAAAAAGATGATTTCCCAGGTAATCGACCCCAAGGAATCCGATTTTTACGGTCCCGAGGCCCCCCTAGCCACCCTCGGGGCGTAAAAGGGGGAGGCACAATGTCTCCCGACTTTTGGGATCATGACCCCAAGGGGGGGCACCTACCTCCCAAAGGGGGGGCATGGGGGGTTTCGGGACCGTGAAATTCGGATTCCTTGGGGTCAATTCCCTATATAACCCCGCGGTCCCCCACTTCGTACTACCTAAACCAACCGAGAAAAAGACCTGTTACGGATGGTCTGGGACACCCTGTATAACGAAGTATTAAAACAATATTTATTGGAGGGGAAGGGTGGGGGAGGAGAAAATATCGATAATTACAGCCTACAGCATGAATATAAGGCCCTAGCGGTGAAACAACCTCTGCCTCGCCCGTGCGGGATGGAGCGCCGCCGATATGCCGCCCGCGCGTAACCGGTAACGCGCAGAAAAATCGCTATAACTCACGAACGAATCGTTTCCCCAAGGTCAAACAAAGTGTAGCAGATGCAGAATTTCATGGAGAATCACCTCAACCGGTTTTCATTCACGTAGCAACGATCGCCTGGAGAGGGGAGACGAAAAACGAAAAAAAGTCGAACCTTCAAAATCGAAAAAATCGATTTATGACCGCGATAAATTACGCAACCTTGCAAACAGCATGAATATTCTTGTAGAGAATATATTTTAACGTTTTTTAGCGCAAACCGCAACACTTACACTCAAACCGTTCGCGAGATATCGATTTTTAAAGTTTTAAAAAAATTGCAACTTTGCCCCCCTGCCCCCTAATTATCCGAGGGGGCTGAAATTGTGCCCAAGCGTCGGGGACACTTAGTACAACATCTGAGCAAAGTTTGGGCCGAATCCAGGGGGGGCCAAAATCGGCGTTTTTGGAACAACCTCTTTAAGGTGATCTTTGACCATTTAAATTTCGTTTCTTTGAGCTTTTCTCGAAATTTGGGGACTTGCTAACCGGCAGGGCCGGATTTACCTATAGGGCACTGGGGCGCATGCCCATAGCGACAAATTTTGGCGATGGGCAAATTTTGGCACTGGATTAATTGAAAGTTAAAGCAAGAAATAAGAAAAAAATGGAGACAGAGACGGAGCGAAGTGCAAAGATGAGCGACAAAATGTATGAAGGAAGGCAGTTGACGGGAGCGGCAAAGCTGTCGCTCTCTAGGTCCGGCCTCGAGCGCTAGGGTGATCGTTCGTTGGAGTGATCCCAAGGGAAACTAAACAACACGGCAATTTTGAACATCGAGGCAGACTTGACAATCAATTTAGACGTTGATGCTCTGGTTGACAGCTTTGCTAAACTGAAAACCCGGAGAAAAAACTTTGAACCTGATCCTCCGAAAATACACTGTAAGTAATACATTGAGCTACACTAGCTTCAACTTCGTCTTCACATTTTATTTTTGCCTCATCCATCCATTCCATTTTATATATTCGTGGCGCATTTTGAAGCAGCTACGCGCACGCGCCCACGCGTCGCACGAGATGGGGGGGGGGCGCAAGATGAGACTGATGGCGTGGGAAGTTGGGAGTGCGGGGAGGGGGGGATACTGTTGACCTGTAGTGGCGAAATATTGCAGACCCAGGGGCGGCAAAATGTGGCTTGCCCAGGGGCGGCAAAAAGCTAAATCCGGCCCTGTGCCAACGTAATGTTGAACTGATTTTGACCCTGCGGAGATAATGTAGAGGCAAATATAAGGGGAATTGGCTTATTTCTCGGGAAAATTGAAGTATTTGAATTGAAGTATTTGGGGGTCCGAACCCCCCCCCCCCTTAAAATTAGTTCGAAGTGATTTCAGAAATTTTTACGTAAAAGCGAACACAATTTGGTAAATTTTCCCGTTTTATTTTTTTCTTTACGATAATTTGATTCGAAGATATAATTTTTTGAAAATAGGTCAAATGTGACCTTTGACCTATCCTAACTTGGTCAAAAATTAAGATATTGAATTGCAGTTTGCGCGGAAATTCTTAATTTTTTATGCTCTTTCGAATGATGTATCACAAGGTAGGGGTTGCCACTTGAAAAAAAAAGTTGCCCCCCCCCCCCCCCCCCCCCCCCCCCCCCCCCCCCCCCCCCCCCCCCCCCCCCCCCCCNAAAAAAAAAAAAAAAAGATGGGCTTCTTTGAGATAAGAACATTCCCACAGTTTCATTTTTCCATCTCGAACCGTTCAAAAGTTAAAGTGGGGGGAGGGGCTGGATTTTTGGAACACCCTGTATAATTCTTTGTGAAACTGTTACTATCATCGTTAGTTTCGTGTGTTTGTTTGCAGGGAGACCATTTCTGATATTCTGGAGCGAATTCCAAATTTAGGTTAGAAAACGGCGTTATCATTGGCAACAACATAAGAACAACTTGCCTCTGAACATGTTTCAGTTGTTTGTACAACAATGTTGCTGTAGGTAGAGTCCCTTTATACCCAGAATTAAGACAACTCGATTATCAGCTGACTGGCAGCCGGCCTTGACTGGCAGCCGGCCTTGGCTGGCCATGGAGGCACACACGAGTGCACCCAAACGAACGATATTGAGGGATAAGGATCAGGAATCCTGCGATGTCTGTCACACAAAAACAACAACATCAACAAATTGATCAATTAAAAAGAAAATGAGATTGGTTTGTGAATAATTTCTTCATACAGGGTTATTCAAAAGTCACGCGCCATTGGCCATAACGATAGTTTTAATTATGATATTGATTTGCGGTTTCTAACGTTTTTCCTCATATTGAAAGGGAAACTTTTTTATGTACTTCCCATTTTTGAACCCCTCAGGGGGAGGGGATCCGGGGTGCAACTCAAAAATTTTCTAATGGCCACCCTCTCATGGCCAGTGGTGCGTGACTTTTGAATAACCCTGTATATTTTCATTTTGGACCGATGGAAATAACAATTTTCTCTTAATAAACCACAATTAGGTAATATTTTCATTATTTTTGTTCACATTCGAGTCGCTGCCATCTTGGTGCACTCGTTTGTGACTCCATGAGCGAGAACCAATCAGAATTGGATTTTTTTTAGGCCACTTTCAGCCCAATCAAAAGTGAGTTGTCGTAGCTCTGGGTGTAAAGGGACTCTAGAGATGCGTTCTCTGGAGGCATCAGAGGAAATACGTTGCTGATTTTTCATGAATTGCCCGATGACCAACTTTCGTCATGTGACTGTCATGGCGGCTCAGGTTTTGTTTTTGTTTACTTCAGGAGCGTGTTATGGTTTACATCATTTTAGGTATTGTTCTCGGAGATAATCAACCCTGAGGGTTACCAGGTCAAATTTAAAAAGAATCTACATTTTATTTAAG